CCACCCCCCCACCCCCTTACCACATTTATCAGAAAATGCAAAAAATGCCACACCAAAGCCAGCAGAGAACAGGGAATTTTCACAACAATTAGATATGTTTTAAATACGTTGAGGAGCAATTTCTTGACTCCTCGATATTTGCTCCACTAAAAAAAGAGTGTCACCAAACACTCCAGACTGATTATTTTTAAAATAATGTTCATAGTTCCATCAATTGTACACACCAGAAACACTCACTAGTTAGCACTTGCTGCAACTGGCTGTAATGAGAAAATTAGTGCTAACCAGCATTAGCAGGCTTAAAATAGCAAATCTGATTTTTAAGAAAATCACCCTTTCCCTGTAGGTACCTGGAAAGTGTTAGGTATATCCATTTTACTCCGCAGGAACTTTCTTAGATGCATCACTGTCATTGCTGCTGGGCAGCGTAAGTATCTTTTGTCATTCACCTGATGGCAAAGAAAATCAGTCTACTGAGAACAAGCAAGTATTCCCACCAAAGTTGTATTCTAACATTTTATGTTTATTTTTTTTTAAATGCACTTTATATTAAATTATGAATTATAATATAACAATTTCTGCTGCCTTATAAGGAGCAACAGAAATAAGTGGTAAATTACAGTTCCAGAATAAGTAAATAAAAATACAACTAATTTTATACATCAAGATTTTTATCTCACAGTAAATATCTTCTTAAAATATGTATGTATTATGTATTATGTATTGATTTTTAAAATTAATTAATAAACAAATTATTGCAGAATCTGACAAAAAATCAAATTCTGCTTTAAAAGTAACACTGTGGGTATTTTTTATTTTTAAAAGTTGTTTACATAAACAGCTGTATGAAGATGTTTGACCTCTCTGGTACCCAGCACCATAACAAGAGGTGTGTATTGCTTCTATTGTTCTAGATACACATACCTATATGGTTTTTTTCAGCTACAAACCTGCCCCAAAGATGTTTGTGTGTGTGTTACGTTTCCTCTAGAGTAAGGAAAAGTTACTTACCTCTTCCTTTGATTTTTCTTTCTCCTTATTTCCTTTTCGTTCCAGTCTGTGAGAAGAAATGAAACAATTACAACAAATAATAAATATAGCTGCTATCAGTCAGGTAAACATAAAATATTGCCATTCTGGAACTTGCCTATTCTGGTCAAAGAATTCAATGGATAAGCTTATTATCTCGTCGTCTGTTATAATTCTTTTGTCTTCATCAGCCACTTCTCCCCTGTCTTCATTAGAGCCATTGGCAGCTGCGCAGAAATTTCCACAATAATTTACATTTTGAAATTCAAATCAGGAAGAATGGCAATTCTCAGTAACAAGAAAAAAAAAATCTCCATAGTAAGATTATGAATTAAAACTACCTAACTGTAAAACAATAAACTTTTATTATGCTGAATTTACTTATTAAAATTCTGTCACAGTAATACATAATTTGTAAGTTAAAAAGAAAACAGTAAAGCATCTAGGTCAATGCTACATTTGATAAAAGTTGCAAAGGAGAAGCTTTTACCATCAGCCGACGGATGAGCAGCATAAAAATCCCTTCTTCTTTTCATTTCATCTAGATGGAAAAGCATATATTTTTATTTTAGTATATACTCTGTAACTCCTGGTATTGATACAGGAGAGCAGTTCTGGTTTTGTTTTTCCACTCCTCAGAAAAGAACACCGATTTAACTACTTACTTTTGAAAAGGCCTGGTACTAGCTTGTATACAATATCTTGGAGAGTTTTATCTGACCTGAAAAAAGAACAACCCCAAAACATAAAATTAAGCACATGAAGCCATATTTTAATCCAAGCAGCAGCTCCTCATTTCTAATCTTTCACAACAGTGAGGCATCTTCTACAAAGTGGAAGGCTAGTCATAAAAAGTTAACTTACAAGACCTTGTAATCAAACTAACACTGCTCTAAACACCTCTATAAAGCAAAACTCATCTGTGCTCCCACAGCCAAAAAATAATTTTCTCGGACTGAAGGGAGGCCTTAAAAACTACATGTCCTCCTTAGAAAATGAAGAGAGCAAAGAGTACGCTGATAAGAAAAACATTTCTGAAAGGAGTAGCATGCTTTAAAGGCTTTTGCCTCTTAGCTTGGAAAGTTTCAGCAAGAGTTTTCATGACTAGAGCTACGGCTGGGGTGAAGCACGTCTGGGAGATAAAGAAAGCAGAGGCAAAACCTGTCGGGGTGGTACACATGAGAGTGGGGGAGAGGGAAGGGGCACTGCATCAATGGTTGGCATATGCAAAAAAAAGACAACAAAAACTTTCTGTCTGAATCCAGAGAAATCCTCGGTTTCAATCAATGACAAAACTCCAAAGAGGGAGCATACACACGAGTTAGCTTGTAAATTGACAAGTCCTTTCAGATTTAAATCGCAGACGAAGAGATAACATCGAGAGGACTGCTGCTGGTCTCCCCATATAAAGTAAAATAAGAGATGCAGGGCGCGCATCGCATCTTTCTCCTACCTTATATTCAAAAGCGGTCGAGTTTTGTGAACTTGGACATCACAGATAGGACAATACTTGCTGGTCTCCAAGTAACGCACGATACAGGTCTTACAGACTGTAAAGTCAAACACGAAAGCCTTTTAGCGATGGTCGTAGGTGACGCTCAGATATGCATAGATAGAGGTGCGATTTTCTAAACTATGCAAGCTAGAGCAGATCGTCCATTGTCAGCAACGCGCTGCTTAAGCTAAACAAATACCCAAATAAGCTGCAATTACCATGAAAAGGAGACGCTTAGAGTACATATATTATTACTTTAACAAAGACCGAAGGGACGTCGTCAGAAAAAGTGCGCCGCGGCCGGGCCACCTATTTCCCAGCCCGTCGGGGAGGCGGAGGGGCGGCGGTTCCTAGCAGCTCGGGGGGTTTGGGCTTGGGGGTTTGGTTTTTTTGGTGTTCCCGGGATGCCGGGAAAGGTGGGAAGTGGCGGGCGAACAACGCGAAGCGCTCGATCGTACTTACAGGAGTGGAGGCACTCTATGATGGTTGTTGCATCAATGAAGTACCCGCCGCAGAGCACGCACATGAGATGGGGGTTTAGCTCGGTTATTTTGATTCTGGTTGTTCGGTGCATTTTGGCGTGGCGAGGGGCGGCTCTGAAAGACACACACACACACACACACACACACACACACACACAGAGACAGAGAGGAA